GTGGAATAAGAATCTTTCCTCCGTAAAGCCATGCGTGTTGTAAAAGTCAACTAAATGCCGGAACAAGGGGCTAGTAACCCCTTTTCTGTAAAGATTAAAAAGAATAAGAAGAAGAAAATTGTCAAAGTGGGAAGTCTGAATGTGCGTGGATGTTGTGCAAATGAAAGAAAGAGATGTTTTGTGGATTTTTATGAATGAGAAGAAACTGGATGTCCTGGCTTTAAGTGAAACAAAGCTGAAGGGGGTGGGAGAGTTTCAATGGAGGGGAAATAAATGGGATTAGGTCAGGGGTTTCAATAGAGTTAGAGCTAAAGAAGGGTAGCAATAATGTTGAAGGATAAGCTATGGCAGGAAAGAGGGACTACAAATGTATAAATTCAAGGATTAAGTGGAGGGAAAAAAAGATTTGGGTGTGAAAAGTGGGTTATAGTAAGGTGTATGCCTGGAGAAGAAAAGAAATGTAGAGGAGAGAGAGAGATTCTGGGAAATGTTGAGTGAATGCGTGGGGAGTTTTGAATCAAGTGTGGAGAGTAATGTGGTTGGGGGTTTCAATGCTAAAGTGGGTAAAAATGTTATGGAGGGAGAGTAGGTAATTTTGGGGTGCCAGGGGGAAATGTAAATGGGAGCCTTTAATTGAGCTATGTGTAGAAAGAAATTTGGTAATAATAAAAACATATTTTATGAAAAAGAGGATAAATAAATATACAAAGGGATGATGTAGCACGTAATGAAAGTAGTTTATTAGATTATGTATTGGTGGATAAAAGGTTGATGGGTAGGCTCCAGGATGTACATGTTTATAGAGGGGCAACTGATATATCGGATCTTATTTAGTTGTAGCTACAGTTAGAGTAAAGGGTAGATGGGAAAAGAGGAAGGTGGAAACAACAAGTAAGAGGGAGGTGAAAGTGTATAAAACTAAGGGAGGAGGAAGTCGGGCGAGATATAAGCGACTATTGGCCTAAAGGTGGGCTAGTGCAAAGATGAGTGTGGGGGGGTTGAAGAGGGGTTGGAATAGTTTTTAAAAATGCAGTATTAGAATGGGGGGCAGAATTTTTGGGTTATAGGAGGGTGGGGGCAGGAGGAAAGAGGAAAGTGATTGGTGGAATGATGAAGTAAAGGGTGTGATAAAAGAGAAAAAGGTAGCTTACGAGAGGTTTTTACAAAGCAGAAGTGTTATAAGAAGAGCAGAGTATATGGAGAGTAAAAGAAAGGTGAAGAGAGTGGTGAGAGAGTGCAAAAGGGGAGCAGATGAAAGAGTGGGAGAGGCACTGTCAAGAAATTTTAATGAAAATAAGAAAAATTTTGGAGTGAGTTAAACAAGTTAAGAAAGCCTAGGGAAAGTATGGATTTGTCAGTTAAAAACAGAGTAGGGGAGTTAGTAGATGGGGAGAGGGAGGTATTAGGTAGATGGCGAGAATATTTTGAGGAACTTTTAAATGTTAAGGAAAAAAGGGAGGCGGTAATTTCATGCACTGGCCCGGGGGTATCCATCTTTAGGAGTGAAGAAGAGCAGAATGTAAGTGTGGTGGAGGTACGTGAGGCATTACGTAGAATGAAAGGGGTTAAAACAGCTGGAACTGATGGGATCATGACAGAAATGTTAAAAGCAAGGGGGATATAGTGTTGGAGTGGTTGGTACTTTTTTTTTAATAAATGTATGAAAGAGGGAAGGTACCTAGGGATTGGCGGGAGAGCATGTTTTAGTCCCTTTTTATAAAGGGAAAGGGGACAAAAGAGATTGTAAAAATTATAGAGGAATAAGTTTACTGAGTATACCAGGAAAAGTATACGGTAGGGTTATAATTGAAAGAATTAGAGGTAAGACAGAATGTAGGAATTGCGGACGAGCAAGGAGGCTTCAGAGTGGGTAGGGGATGTGTAGATGAAGTGTTTACATTGAAGCATATATGTGAACAGTATTTAGATAAAGGTAGGGAAGTTTTTATTGCATTTATGGATTTAGAAAAGGCATATGATAGAGTGGATAGAGGAGAAATGTGGCAGATGTTGCAAGTATATGGAATAGGGGGTAAGTTACTAAATGCTGTAAAGAGCTTTTATGAGGATAGGAGGCTAGGTTAGGGTGTGTAGAAGAGGGGGAGAATACTTCCCGGTAAAAGTAGGTCTTAGACAGGGATGTTTAATGCCCACCAGGGTTGTTTAATATTTATATAGAGGGGGTTTTGTAAAAAGTAAATGCTAGGGTGTTCGGGAGAGGGGGGGGATAAATTATGGGAATCAAATTCAAATGGGAATTGGACACAGTTACTTTTTGCTGATGATACTGTGCTTATGGGAGATTCTAAAGAAAAATTACAAAGGTTAGTGGATGAGTTTGGGAATGTGTGTAAAGGTAGAAAGTTGAAAGTGAACATAGAAAAGAGTAAGGTGATGAGGGTATCAAATGATTTAGATAAAGAAAAATTTGGATATCAAATTGGGGAAGAGGAGTATGGAAGAAGTGAATGTTTTCAGATACTTGGGAGTTGACGTGTCGGCGGATGGATTTATGAAGGATGAGGTTAATCATAGAATTGATGAGGGAAAAAAGGTGAGTGGTGCGTTGAGGTATATGTGGAGTCAAAAAACGTTATCAATGGAGGCAAAAAAGGGAATGTATGAAAGTATAGTAGTACCAACACTCTTATATGGATGTGAAGCTTGGGTGGTAAATGCAGCAGCGAGGAGACAGTTGGAGGCAGTGGAGATGTCCTGTCTAAGGGCAATGTGTGGTGTAAATATTATGCAGAAAATTCGGAGTGTGGAAATTAGGAGAAGGTGTGGAGTTAATAAAAGCATTAGTCGAGGGCAGAAGAGGGTTGTTGAGGTGGTTTGGTCATTTAGAGAGAATGGATCAAAGTAGAATGACATGGAAAGCATATAAATCTTTAGGGGAAGGAAAGAGGGGTAGGGGTCGTCTCGAAAAGGGGTTTTAAAGAGGGGGTAAAGGAGGTTTTGTGGGTGAGGGGCTTGGACTTCCAGCAAGCGTGCAATGAGCGTGTTAGATAGGAGTGATGGAGACGAATGATACTTGGGACCGACGATCTGTTGGAGTGTGAGCAGGGTAATATTTAGTGAAGGGATTCAGGGAAACCCGGTTATTTTCATATAGTCTGATTTGAGTCCGGGAAAGGGGAATAAAATGCCTCACTTTAAAGGGGGGGTTTTGGGGATATTGGCAGTTTGGAGGGGATATTTTTTGTTCTCTATAGTATATGCTTCTAAACTTTTTATTATGACACCTCTGCAAAAGCAGGATAAGTGTGTGTTGGTGAAAGGTTAATGATGATGAAAGATTTCTTTTTGGGGATTTTCTTTTTTTTTTTGGATCACCCTCCCTCGGGGGGGGACGACCGACTTTTTTGAAAAAAAAAAAAAAAAAAAAAATTATAAATATATATATAAAATATATATATATATAATATATATTAAATTAATAAATAATATATTATGTATGTATTATGTATTTTAGTCTTTCTGAGCACCTCTGCAAAAGCAGTGAAATGTGTGAGTGTGGTGAAGTGTTTGAATATGATGAAAGTATTTTTTTTTTGGTGATTTTTTTCTTTTTTGGGTCACCCTCCTCGGTGGGAGACCCAACTTTTTGAAAAAAAAAATATATATATATATATATATATATTTTATATATATATAATTATATATATATATAAAATTTATATATAAAATATATTATTAAAAATATTTATATTTTTAAATATTTTTAATATATATATATTTATAAATATATTATAAATTTATTATAAATATATATTATATAAAATATATATATAATTTATATATAATATATGCTGAAAGGGTTTTTCGGGTACATTTGCTACTTCTACTTACACTTAGGTCACCCTACACATGTAGTACAAAAATATGTACATACATACCCCTGGGTTTTCTTCTATTTTCTATATAGTTCTTTTCTTTTTATTTCCTGTTATCTCCAGGGAAGGGGAACAGAATTTTTCCCTCCGAAGGCATGAGTGTTAAAAAGGGCGATAAAATCCCGGGGCAAGGGCTAGTAACCCCTTCTCCAGTATAATTAAAAATGTAAAAGGAAAAATTTTCATCTTTTTTGGGCCCCCCCGCCTCGGTGGGAACACCGGTGTGTTGAAAAAAAGAAATGTTATATTTCTAGGGATAGGGTTGTAGACAGCAACCACCCGGGAGGGCTACCGTCCTGCCCAAATGATTGTAAAATGAAAGCCCGTAATTGTTTTACGATGGTAGATTGCTGGGCTTTTTTTTTTTCTCATAAACAGGGAAGATTTTAGACTCTTACTACTTCTACTTACATTAGGTCACACTAAAACATACTGTAAACAATTAACACACACCCCTCTGAGTTTTCTTTATTTTCTTTTTGTTCTTGTTCTTTTTTATTTTCCCCCTTATTCCATGGGGAAGTGGAACAGAGTTCTTTTTCTGTAAACCAGCGTGTTGTAAGAAGCGACTAAAATGCCCGGGACAAGGGGGTAGTAACCCCTTTCTGATAAATTATTAAATTGAAAAAAAACTTGTGTTTTTCTCTTTGGGGCACCCCGCCCCGGGGGGAATGGCCGGGTTTTTTTTTTGAAAGAAGAAAATAAAATATTTTGAACTTCCCTTTCCCGGACTGAAGTCCGGGATATAAAAAAAATCGTTTCCCAAAGGGAAGTCAATGCCCTGCACCTAAAGGAGGGATTCGGAATATTGGCATTTGGGGGTATGTTTTGTATCTTTATACGTTTATATTCTAAGCTGTTGTGGTTTTGGCACCTCTGCAAAAACAGTGATTATTGTGATGAGTGAAAGATTGAATGATAGAAAATATTTTTTTTTTTGGGGACTTTCTTTCTTTTTGGGTCACCCTGCCTCGGTGGGAAACGGCCGACTTGTTAAAAAAAATATATTTAGAACATTTTAATTTGCAATTTTCTGTGCTGTCACTTGTTTGTGAGTCCTTGGAGTAAAATGCCCAGCTCATAAATCTCTCATTTTATTTTCAGCGGAATCATTTGTTGGCAAAGGGATGATAATTAGAGGCTACCGTCGACATGCACGTCGAAGATTTGGAAAAGTGGAATACAAGTATTGTCACTATTTTGTGACATTAGAAGAAGGCGACCCACCAGAGCATTACTACCCATTCCGTAGACCACGAACCCCTCAGGAATTGCTGGAAGAGTGGATGGAGGAGCAGCGACGTCGTACTATAATCAAATCTCTCTAACTTCGCTACATATTTAATAAATATGCTGTACTGTATATATATATATGTTAAATATTGCCATTCAAAAATAAAAACTCATTTGTTTTGAAATTTTCCTTTAGCAGCAAATTAAGTCTATGTCATTTTTATATTACAGTATTAATATTATAGAAAAATGCTAGAGCAGCAAGGGTTGTGCAGTGCTACTTGGTAGAGGTGAGGGATGGTTGAGAGGGACTGAGGTGTTGAGGGAATAAGAACGAAATGACCTCCCATTCCCAGGCAGTGTGTGACCCATCACTGGTTTGGTGCATCTATATCAATAAAATCACTACACTAAACCCATATAGGTTACATAACTATGAATATTATAATACTATTGTCCAATAGTATTACATGTATATGTAAACAGTATTTAGATAAAGGCAGGGAAGTTTTCATTGCATTTATGGATTTATTAAAGGCATATGATAAGAGTGAATAGGAGGGGAATGTGGCAGATGTTGCAAGTATATGGAATAGGTAGTAAGTTACTAAATGCTGTAAAGAGCTTTTATGAGGATAGTGAGGCTCAGGTTAGGGTATGCAGGAGAGGGGAGATTACTTCCCAGTAAAAGTAGGTCTTGGGGATGTGTAATGTCACCATGTTTGTTTAACATATTTATAGATGGGATTGTAAAAGAAGTAAATGCTAGGGTGTTGTGGAAAGGGGTGGGATTAAATTATGGGGAATCAAATACAAAATGGAGTTGACATACTTTTTGCTGATGACACTGCTTTTGGGGGATTCTAAAGAAAAGTTGCGAAGGTAAGTGAACAAGTTTGGGAGGGTGTGTAAAGGTAGAAAGTTGAAAGTGAATATAGATAAGAGTAAGATGATGAGGGTATCAGATGATTTAGATCAGTGGTTCCCAAACTTTTTCAGCTTGTTACCCAATTTAACATGCCACATAAAGCATGTTACCCCTTTCACAAAATGTTGTTATTATTGATATATATGGCTAAATTAAAACACTTGAGATATTTTCTTTTATTTATTGTATTTGAACATTGTGCATCTCTAATGACTATTACCAAAGATGTCAAGAACATCAGTGGGATGGATGGAGTTACATACTTGAAGCTAGTTTAGGAATTTTTGGCTTCGTGGTTGAAAGTGCCAGCCTGGCATCGTTTGCAACATTCAAGCGAGTCCTCTTTTTTGTTTTCATACCCAGCACAGTTTCATACTCGCACAGATACGTTGTTGAGAATGATATCAACAACTTCAAGGCTCTCTTGGACAGAGTTGGCGAGTCAGGTAGTCGTGAAATCCAAAAGGAATCTGCATTTTGGTTTTGGAATTCGATTTTCAAGGCTTCATTGGCTCGCATTGTGATCCACTCCTCCTTTGCAGGGAAATCATCATCATGAATGGCATCATCAGGTACAGAGAAGGGATGAATGATCCACTGAAGAGTGGCTGTTTCTTGGTCACTCTCTGGAAAGTAGTGATGCTTGCTTGTTTCAAGCCCCTTCAAATGGTCGCTCATTTCTTTGTTGATGGTCTGTAGAAGTGATCCAGTATCATGACTATTCTCCTCAACAAACTGGTCTAGGGTGGGAAACTGGGCGATCACTCCTTTCTCCAAGAGCCGAATCCAGAGTCTCAGTTTCCCCAGAAATGCAGTCACAGTGTGATGGGCATCAATGACAGTCGTGTTTCGGCCCTGGAGTTGCAGATTACCACTGTTCAGCTCCGCAAATATGTCAGCCAAGTAACAAAGTCGAGCAAGCCACTCCTTATCGGTGAACTTGGTAGCAAAAGGAGATCCTTTCTGTTCCAGGAATTCCTGAACAGCTTTTCGGAGCTCAATGACTCGACGTACAACCTTGCCTCGTGACAACCAGCGAACATCGGTGTGGTAGAGCAGAACTTGATACTGCTCTCCCATTTCCTTGCACAGCTCCTTGAATATGCGCGAATTCACATCTCTGGACATGATGAAGTTGACGATTTTCAACACATCTTCAAACACTAACTTCAGATTACCAGGCAGGCTTTTCGATCCAAGAGAGTACCGATGAATGATGCAGTGATCTACAGAAATTTCTGGATTGATAGCTTGTATGAGGCCCCGTAATCCACGATGACCACCCATCATCGACGGTGCTCCATCGACGGAGACCTGGAATAAAAAGAAAAATTATTATAGACTGCGTCAGTTAGTCATTGTTACTTATCTTTTTGCGTTATAATTATATGGTTTTAATTAATTATTTCGGTACTTGAGTATTTCAATACGACAGCACGATATTTTTTGTGTGAATCATGTACAAAATATTAGCTACACTACAGTTACTTGTACAATAAATAAAACTGTATATGACTATATGCCGTGTAATTCATTGTATTTATACTAATTTAGACTTTATATAAACATCGTTTCCTACCTGTTGAACGCTGTTCCAATCCAATCCATTCTTGGTAAAGAAACTGTTGATATTGAAGACATCTCTCCCTTTGTGGTTGTCAGCAGATCCTCGCATAATAGGAACTCTTCTTTGATCTTGTCCTGGTGGACGTAACGGACGAACCCAAGGAGAACAGCACAACTGGCTACGTCACACGATTCATAAAATTGCAAGGAGAATTTGCCATATGAGCTTTCCTTGATCTCTGTTGTAACTTGGGACAGGATATCTGATGCCATGTCATCGACTCGTCGGCGGATGGTGTTGTTTGATAGAGATATGACACTCAGTTTCTCGCTTGATCCTCCCCACATACCTTGCTTACCATCTCGTATGCACAAGGCATAATCAGATTCTCTGCAATGGTGTGGCATTTCTGTTGTTCGGCAATTTTATATGCAACACAGTAGGATGCTTCGACCGCAGCTTGAAGCTTTTGGGCTTGAATTCCAGATGAGCCGAACTGGATATTCTTCAGTGCTACAGCCTGGCGCTGAAAATAAGCCTGATCCTTATTTTGAAGATTTGGATGGCACTTCTGGAGGTGAGCTGAGAGTTTTGATGGCTTGAGGCTTTCATTTGTCAACACTTTGTGACATGCCACACATTGTGGCCGATCCTCTACACCAGAAGTTAAATTCACAAAGCCCATGGCGAAGAAAGGCGTCAGTGTAGGTGCGCTTTTTGGACATTTTCTTGTTCAATCTGCAGAAAAAGAAGAATATCCATGCATACACTGCAAAACGCAAGGTACATAATTTCTCGCATGGCAGCTAACACAAGTTCACTGATGCAAGCACACACGCATACATTCAAAATTGTCAGGCTGCAAGTATCATGCTTGTCAGCACAAGAGCACCGTGTAGCGCGAGACTACAGTGAACGTATACAGCCTCGCATACTCTGCTAATCCTAGCAAAACCATTGAAAACGTAAGAACCACACATACATTATATAAAATTAATAATAGCTACAAATTCACAGTAACAGTGGGTAAATACTAACTATATACTGCACAGGGCAGTACACATACATACCAGCTTATGTCTACCTCGCTGATGCTCACAGATAAACTGACAGTGTGAAATAGAGGCAGCCTCAGGAAGTGAGTGACGCGTACTGGACAGGTCAATCTGGGCTACTGAGTGACTTTTGTCCTGAAGCATACTTGTCAAAATACTTTTGGGTTTCCACACACTTAGCTATATATTTCTTCTTTTCTAATACTGTATATTAGTTTTTGATGTTTATTGTTATTTGGTTTAACTTTATTACTTACTTATAATAGGTTTACTTTACAACTTTATATACTAAGACAAAGTTAACAATAATCCTCATACCGGGTACCGCATTGTTTTCTTGATTTTCAGAATTCATAACTTTTTTTCTGTCACCCCTCCATTACCCCCCAAAAATGGTTAAATTACCCCCAGGGGGTAATTTACCCCCAGTTTGGGAACCACTGATTTAGATAAAGGAAAATTGGATATCACATTGGAGGGAGTGAATGTTTTGAGTTACTAAAAGTGTTAGAGGGGTTATTGAGGTGGTTTGGTCATTTTGAGAGAATGGAACAAAGTAGAATGACATAGAGAGCATATTAATCTGTAGGGGAAGGGAAGAGGGGTAGGGGTCATCCTCAAAAAGATTGGAGGGAGGGGGTAAAGGAGGTTTTGTGGGCAAGGACCCCTCAAGGAAGGTTCCTTGATTTTGGTGAGGGGCTCTTGATTTAGGGAATTAGATCTGTGCTCCAGTTCCCCGAATTAAGCCTGAATGCCTTCCACATCCCCCCCAAGGCGCTGTATAATCCTCCGGGTTTAACGCTTCCCCCTTGATTATAATAATAATAATGTGGGCAAGGTGCTTGGACTTCCAGCAAGCATGCGTGAGTGTTAGATAGGAGTAAATGGAGATGAATAGTTTTTGGGACCTGACGAGCTGTTGGAGTGTGAACAGGGTAAAATTTTGTGAAGGGATTCAGGGAAACCAGTTAGCTGGACTTGATTCCTGGAAATGGAAAGCACAATGTCTGCACTTTGAAGGAGGCTTTTAGGATATTGGCAGTATGTCTAAACTGTCGTATCTGAGTGCCTCTGCAAAGACAGTGATTATATATGAATGATGGTGAAAGGGTTGAATGTTTTTTCTTTCTTTTTGGGTCACCCTTCCTCAGTGGGAAACGGCCAACATATTAAAAAAATAAAAATTGTCAAACGTCTTGCAGTAATGACCACCACTGTCAATCCATGGACGTTATATTTATCATTCTTTTACTGTATATTCCTTTTATGGTTTGATGATAAGCATTGCAGGATTTATAAAGTGAATTAAATAAAATATTAGAATGTTCCTATAACACACTGGCTATCCCTCACCGAGGTAGTGAGACTTTGAAAAGACACACTTTCACCATCATTCACACTACAACTGTCTTGCCAGAGGTGCACAGTTACGACAGTTCAAATGCCCCTCCAAACAGTAAATCTCTAACTTATTAATAAGTCTGTTGTTCAAGTATCTCCCTATCCATTATACCTTTCCTTTTATTCCAGTTTGCTAAATAGCCTAAGTAGTACTGGGAAAAAAAGCCTTCTTACAGTGTAGGAATATGTGGTTTACCCATTCCTTTGTAAGAGGCTGATAGGGCATCATCTTCTATTTCTGAATCCATACTTTTTTACTGTTAAGAATCCAGTGCTCTGCATGATCAAATCTCTTCCTTATGATCTTTTTCCATTATGTTTTAGCATGGAGAAATATTTGGTAATTTGTACAGATAGTACAAGACAGAGGGAAAAATATTCAGAGTTTGGGTATTGCACACACGAGTGATCTAGCACACAACCCCAGTGGAAACAAGTCACTGACTTTTTTTTGGGTTATCCTAGGTTCTGTACACATGCTGATATGTATGATAGTCTATATAACTGTATACCTGAATAAACTTACTAACCCACTATCCTGATAGATTCAGACAGGACTAACACGAGTCTCCTGTTTTACCTCCACCCACCAAAGGGCCTCAGTTCCATGGTCTGGTTGAAATTGAATTTGAGTGGAAACAAGGTACATACAGAATTGTGTACATGGGGATAGAGTTTAGTCAAGTCTTTGCAGACTGTATCCACTGCTGAGAAGTTCCAGCTGCCCTAGTCATCAACAAAAGTTGAGTTGTGTGCTGGCTCACTAGTGTATTTGTTGCTTGAACATAAAGTTGAAAGACTTCAGTTAACCTTATAGTTCACTTGGTCCCACAGCTCAAACAATAAGTGAGTAGCATCAGGTGGTGTTTAGCCTCCTAAATGTTTGCAATGGGGCATTGTGTTTAGTTAAGGTCCATTAGGCATGATAGGGTATATGCTGTAACCCCCCCCCCCCCTTTTTTTTTTTTTTTTTTTTTTTTTTTTTTTTTTGTCCTTGGCTACTTCCCTGCCCTCTGGTGAATACTTGTTTATTGTATACCACTACCCATTGAGTCTGCTTTTCATTCCAAAACTTAGAGACTATTTTGTTCTTCAGCCAAGTACAGCTGGTGAAATGTTAGGTGATAAAATTTGTCATATTGTCAG